CGGGGCCCCGGCGGCTGCCGGCGGGGCGGGACTCGGGAGGCCGCGGAGCCCCGGGCAGCTCAGTGCCAGCGGGCCGCTGCGGGCCCCGCTCCTCTCCCCGGGCCTCCACCGAGGGGATGGGGGAAACCCGAAAGAAGGAGACGTCCCTGGGGGCAGCCCTGGGCCTCTTGGGCGGTTTTCCCCCCAAAACGCAATCCTCTGTATGCAGGTTTGGGAAGAGCAGGGACCCGCTGTCCTGCCCGCCCATGCTCCTGGCCCTTGAGAAGCTCGTCAGGCCTCGCTGGCGCGCTGCTTTTTTCCAAATTTGCTACTACGGCAGGATCTTTCTCTTAGAGGAGTCAGCAGCAGCATTACCATTAACCAAAGGGGAATGAGGGTAGGATTTGTGCAAACCCCAAGACGTTTTTTAACTCAGACCTGACATTGGTGCTGCTGCCACAGAGCATCCTGTAAATACCCCAGCTGCAGCACGCACGGTGGCTTCGGCTGACGCAAGCCCAGGGTCGCCCGCTGCTGCTTCTGGGAGCCCTGCAGGAGCCGCAGGCAAGGGCTGTGCTCCAGCTGCCAGCTGCCCGACACCCGGAGCTCTGCTGTGCTCCAGCTGCCCGACACCTGAAGCTCCACTGGGCTCCGGCTCCCGGCTGCCCGACACCCAGAGCTCGGTGTTTGCCATCCTGACCTAGGCGCTGGGTTTCATTTGCGCCCAGGAAGCGGTGGCAGCTCCCTGGGGAGAAGTGGGTTCCCTCTAGCGGGAAGCGACAGCAGGGACGGCCCTGGGCAACAATAAAACGCTTATGGTCCTATTTGAAAATTAACTTATTTCTACAACTTAATTAGGGACAAATGTCACAGCAGTACCTTGACTTGCAAGTTGTGCCCTGTGCTATGGGCCGACACATCTCTGAAGCCTGCCGAGCCGTCAGAGGCTGTTTACTTCCCCCCTATCGAATAAATCATTCACGAGTCTGCTGGTTTTGTAAGCTTCACACGCAACTTTTAAAGTGACTTCATCAGCTTGTTTAAACACCTCACACAGTTGGGGCCGGGCACAAGCTATAGGAGGAAATCTCTAAAAGGGAGAATATGCATTTTTTTTTCTCATTAATTTGTTTTTGAGAGGCTTGTGGAGAGTTCCTGAGTGCATTTGCTTAATAAATCTAAACGAAAAAGATTTGGGGACAGATTCTTCTGTTACTTACACAGGTGTAAAAGGTCTTATAGCCACACTGAGCTGTGCTGAGTCACTCGTATTAGTGAGCAATAGTAACTAGGAGCCGTAGCGGGTGCTGCTAATGTGAGCAGAACCGGCTGTGAGTACACACAGGAAGCAGATGAAGTAAGAAGCTGCTATTCTTACACCCTCCGTTTTCAGACTTGGGCAAGGAAAGAGCGTGTGTGCAATAATGTGTGATATGAACAGAACAGCTACTAAATTGGAAGGTCTTTTCATAGTCTCTGATATAAAAAGCCCCGTTTTGCCCATGATGGATCGCCTTCGGGGGATGCTGGAGTTTCTCTTGTGCTTTCTGCATTAAGATGTAACTCACAGCACCGGGAAAACCTGATGTTTCTAAATATCCCATTGAGTCGATCGGGGGAAAAAAAAAAACACCCCAGAGCTGATTGTGTCAGCGTGAATGTGCTGTTACGGACAGAGCCGGGGCCAGAGAGCAGGAGGAGAGCGGTGAAGACAGACGTGACTTTTCATGCTGGTACGTAGTGGCGTGAGACCCTCTGGAGGTGTTTCTTGCTGCAGGCTGGGGAGAGAGAGGAAGGGGATGACGGTAGCTGGTTACCTTCAAGAGGGAGCAATACTGAAGCACCCTGCAAAGAGGCAATTTTTCACGTGCCAATGCTACATCAGGAAGAAGAGGAGAAGCATGTGTTGGATCTTGGTACCGATGTGGATACCTGCTTTGTTATCAGATGAGAGTGCGGTGCTAAAGTTCACCTGGCAGCAAGAGGCATGCGAGGCGGCGGGGCAACAACCGGAGCCTCCTTCTCCAAATGTTTCTTTGCTGGGAGAAACTACAGAGCGGGCAGCAACCCTGCCAGCAACTCTCGGCCGGTGGTCGGTCTCCATGTGCAAACCCCTCCGACTGAGGCTGCTTCAGCCTTGTCCACCTGTGCTGACAGCAGCTAGGGAAGGCCAGCAGACACCAACTGCAGCCCCACAGGGTCAGTTCCTGCAATGAGTCACGGAACTCTACAACTGACCCGTTGAGCAGGGGAAATTGTGCAAGAAATGCCAATAAAACTATTGAGATGTGCAATTAGAGAAGAGCTCTCCTGCCCTCTAGTGCCCTTCCCCTCGCCCGGGCGGCTGCCTCCCACCCCAGCCCTCGCTCTCCTGCTCTCCTCCGGCTTGTGGGGTCTGGGGTCGGGGCTGGGGTGATGCAGTGTCCGTCCCTGCTGAAATGCCAGGAGATAGCGGCATTTCACCCCCAAACACAGCTGTCCAGGTGGGTTTCAGTAGCAGGGAATAACTGGGAGTACATAGAGAAACACAATTTAGCCGACTACCTTCTTGCATGATGGCTTCGGGACTAGCACTGGCCTTGATAAGGTCGCTGGTCAGTGTGGTTGCAATTTGATTAAGACACAACCAGTTCCCCGTAAAGACCTTATTCAATATGCACGAGGATCCCCGAGTGACAGCTACACCGCGGTGACCTGATGTGCCCCTGCCGCCACGCACGCTCGGCCCTCAGGGTGGAAAGCTTTGCAACAGGAAAGAGGTGAAAAAACTTTAGTGCAAGCAAACTAATGCAAAA